CTGTTGTTCACCATCTTAGCTGTAGAGGGCACAGCGTCACTGGCCCTCATGTGGGATCTGAACCGGGGTCCTGCTGCTCAGAGCTGGCGTCCCAAGCCAACTCTTAACCAACGAGCCACTTGGCCGGCCCGCACTCCTGCTTTTTTAAAAACAGGTCTTCTGCTTCCGCTTTTGCCCCGGCTATAACCCACTCACACAGGAGGGTTGAAACGATCCTTTAAGTTGTTATCAGGCCACCTTACTCACCTGCCCAGTAACAGCCCAACTCCTTTCTATAGTACAGTTGAAGCATTGTGATTCAGGACCTCAATTCTGAAATGAGTCGGCCTGGTTCATAGTCTAGTCGCATCACTTAATAGCTGTGCGATTTTGAATGAGTTACGCTTCATCTGTGCCTCAGTATTCTCGTGTAAAATAAGGATAATAATCGTAACTGTCGCTTAGAGTTATTGTGAGAGTTTAATAAGCCAATACTTGCAGCACACTCAGCGCATAGTAAGCACGGTGAAGGTTACCTGCCCTCATCTTGGTCATGATGATTACCAGCCATCCAGATGTTTGAATAGTTTCACTTTCTCTGCCTCCCTCACTCACAATAATTTGTGTATAATGTCTTCATTTGCAGAGAGAAAGATTAAATGAAACCAGGTATACTTTGCTGAAGAAGGCAGGAAAGTATAATTTTGAAATATTTCTATTTTAAATGGTTTAAGTTAAAAAAAAAAAGTCCTAGTGTTTGCAGAGGTTAAACTCTCAGTTACCCCAAAACTTGATCTTTTATTAGACTGTCTCATTCTTCAGGGTCCTGAATGGTTAAGTATTTGTGTGCTATTATAGAATGTTCTGTATGTTATCCTTTTTATTTTTATAGTTTGAGACCAGAGACCCTCATCATCAGCATTATCAGACATCTAATTTCATATGTTCTTGAACACGGTAAATGAAGTTCCTGTGTCCCAGGCAGTGAGAGTCAGATAACATTAATATTTACACGTGTGTATGTCATACGTGTCATAGAATAAAAGTACAGTCAGCTAAAGATGAGAGGAAAGGGATAGTAGGGACCGTGGTAATGCGCCCCTTAAGCTTACAAACAAGGAAATGGCTCAGAGACTCCCCAGTAACCGTTCACTTGGAAGATTAAACATATTTATGTCTTACATGGATCATGGTTAAGGGTTAAGGATTTTCAGGAGGTGGTGGGCAAATAACGTTTGCAATCGAATGGCGATCAGAACAAAAGTAGCGATGGGAGTTAAATGATCTGATGGATAGGGATTTTTTTTTTTAAAGCAATCATTTTAAAAATGCAGCTGCTAGAGGAGAGAGGTCAGAAGACTCCCTCAAAGCCCAAGGTGAATGAAGTTTTGTTTGATTACACCACACATTCGGCAGATAATTGCTGAGTGCCTACTATGTGCCAGGACTGTGGTCGGCAGCAGGGAGACACTAATGAAGAAGACCCGGGTTCTTCCTCTCATGGATCTTATGTTTGGGAGGAAGACAGACTATAAGGCTAACAGATTTAATAACTACTGTGAGGGAACACAGCTGACGAGATCAGATGTAGCCTTGCTGAGTAGGTTATGGCTTGGTGCAGGACTGAAAGACCAGGAGGACCCACCCCGGAAGGTCTGGGTAATGACCCTTGTGTGCAGGAATGAGCCCAGTTGGGTGAGGCACTCGTGCAAATTTAAAAAGGCATTCCAAGACCCTGAGGTGGGTGAGTGCCTCCTTAAATGTGGTGCCCCAGGCGCCTTTCTTGCCTCACCCTAGTTCCTGCCTCTGCCTAGCCTGTTTGAAGGACAGAAAGGACAAAGTGGTATTTACAGGAAGTGAGTGGGTCAGGGGACAAGGGCTGAGTACAGATACCTGCAAAGCCAGGAGGCTTCCGGCTTTGTAGGCCGGGGTAAGGTTTTGGACTCCGCTCCTACTGGGCAGGGAAGACTGCAGAGGAGTACGCTGAGCTGTTTCTAAAAACCACTCACTACTGTAGGGGAGTGAGAATGGAAGCAAGTTGGCCAGTCAGCGTTCGTTCGTTCAGGAGAGAGAGGGACGAGGATGACAGTGGAGGTGGAAGGCATGGCTGGATTTGAGGAAAGGCGATTAGACACCTTAGTTGAATAATCAAGTAAAAAGGAAGTTGGATATCCAGGTGGGGTGGGGTGGTCAGGATTGGAGATGGAAATTTGGGAAGCTCTTTGAAGCCAAGTCCTTGTGAATTTTTGGCTTTTGTCAGGGACACTACAACCATTGTGATACCGAAAGGACTGCGATCCTGTGGGTACAGACGTGTGCATGTCATTAAACTTGGTGGTAGGAAGGTAGGGGAGTTTCTGTTTAATTTCTGATTCCCAGTGAAGTTTGAGACATTGTCATCACCTGAAAGTGGAGAGGGGAGGGAGACGGTGGAGGATATTTGAACAGAGAGAAGGTTTCAAATAGGCATTTCAGAGGGTGAGAAAAGGAATATTCCAGGAAAGTGTAATAGGATTGCCGGGTGGTGGGATCTGTGATTCTGGATTTAATAAGCTTGGCTGTTCTTCAGTGTGTTCAATAGTGTAGGCAGGGGATAAATAAATGAGTTTAATCCCATATTGGGCTCACAATAAGAACAAAGTTAGGGTTAGAAACTTCGCACCATAAATCAGATAAAATTATGGGGTTCTCTGAATGTAATATTTATAGGAAAGCTCATTACTAGAAGACTCAGTGATTTAAAGAATTAAATGAGACTCGGGTTTTGATAATACTTGAATTGACTCATGATTTGGTTTCTTCACCACACGGTGGCACCATCACATACATGGCTTTACGTATTTGGATTATATACCTGATGCTTTTTCAGAACATGTGTATCCTCTGAAACTTCTAAAGCTCATCCTTCTGATTCTTGAATCAAGGCCGTAGCTCATGCTATCTTTGGAGGGTAAAATTCTTAACAGTTGTAATCCAGCTCCTGCACATTCCGCCGAGTCTCATCTGTCTTCTCACCCCCACAGAGCTCCTTTTGAAGTCATTGGAGCTCCTCGTGCTGAGCATTTCGTGGGGGTGCAGAGCAAGGTGAGAGTTTCGGACCCTGAAGTTAAATAAGTATTTTAAATACAGTTGCCTTATCCATCACCATTATTTCTTAAGTTCTTTGTGGAATAGGACACTAGAGGGCAGTATTTATCCTTTTTCCATTTTGATCTTCACCTAACCTCTCTCTTATTTATGGAAACCTCTTAAATGTTGTATGCATTTTTGAACATGAATATGGTTTTAAGGTGTGTGAGACATTTGATGACAGAGCCCTGTTTAGGAGCAGTCTGTGTATTTGCAGAGAGGAGCATTTTATCCAACCTGTATGTATTTGGGGATTTATAGTCTAATCTAAGTTGGAGAAAAGTCCAAAAGACAAAAACCTGTTAATCAGCTTTAAAAGGAGATTGTTACCGATGTAGACTTGATGTCACCTACCTCCGGTAAGCACAAATGGAATGTTGAAAGCCCTGCGGTGGCGGGAGTACTTAAGGCCTCAGCAGAGGGACTTGGAATAATGGAACGAGTTCCCACTCGTTGTGGAAATAGTGACTTGACTTTGCTTACCCAGAGTTAGATACAGCAGTTGAAATTGAACAGCCATAAATGTTTCTATTAGCTTCGCTCTGGCCAGTTTGTTTGTGAATCTTTTTTTTAACACCTGATACCAAAATTCAGGAATTCATAAGTAAAGGGAAAGTAAACTTTTGGTACCAGTAGTACTTGATACTAGGCTAAATTTTAAGTTAATACCTAAATCGTTTAAGTAAATAAAATCTATAAATAGCATATGACCCTTGAGCTAGAAGGTTGATCTTTAAGATCCTATCAAATCCTGAATATTTTTGAAAAAGAAGCAACCCCCCCCCAAAATTCAGGTTGAAGATTTAGCATAAAATTTTCATTGTCATAGAAAATGTTACAAAATAGCTAATTTTCAAAATAGATTTTTCACTTGAAACCCCCTTTCCAGCTTTTTGTTAAAAAATAGTTTAATTACATGCAAACATAACTTTCTGGTTTGTCAAAATTTGGAAACACATCCTGACTTTCTAGAAATTAATGTTTTGGTTTTATTGAAAGCTATTTGTATGTCTTTTTGTTTGCTTCATCAGGTGATTCTTGGACACTACAATTGGCTCTCCTATGAAGATGTCTTTGTTAGAGCGTTTAATTTTGGAAACGGCTTACAGATGTTGGGTCAGAGACCGAAGACCAACATTGCCATCTTCTGTGAGACCAGGGCCGAGTGGATGGTTGCTGCACAGGCGTGCTTTATGTATAATTTTCAGCGTACGTAGGCTTCTCATTTTCTGGAAGAGTGGACTTCTGTTCCTGTGGGAGAGATGGTACTATTGGGTAGTCGGAAAAGTCATGACGTATTTTTTCTATGTTTTTCGTTGCAAAAATGCGTCATATGACTTTTCCGACAACCCAATATTATCACAAACGTTTCACCCCTTAAGAGAGTAAAATTCTGATGTTAATTTTTACCTTGTGTCCAGTCAGTGGAGAACTCTGTTACAATTTAGAATTGTTGGTCTGCTTTGGAAAGGGAACCAGTTGTGGAAATGGTAGGTAGGCACAGTTAATGTAGTAAGGGGACTTGAGCCTATTCATAGGGGACTTTCTGGGTCCAGGGAACTCTGCCTGCCCTATGGGCTCTGGTGTCATCTCTCAGGAATCCCCCTTTGAAATTCGTGTCAGTTTGTTACGCCACTTCTATCAGTAGGAACAGTTGACCTCTAAAACACTTCCAGTCCTGAAACCCAGGTGCTAGGTTAAATGATGGAGAATTTTTACATTGTTAGCTATTTGAGTGGTAATCCTAAGACCTCGGTCTGTGAGGCCGTCCGGGAAGCTTGGTTCCGAGGTCTTGGTGCCAAAATGTGATGTTAGGTAGGGACATTGCCTTACCCTTCAGATGACACGGAAAGGATACTTCTACCAGATTTCTGGCTGTAGATGCCTTTACTATTGTTTTTTTTTTTTAAACTGGCATACCTTATTGTTTTCACAGGTTTAGGTTTACAAAAGGTTTCTTTTTTGAGAAGCTTTAAAATAATTGTCATTTCTTAAAAAGTCACTTTAAGTCTAAGTTTTTTTGAGTTAGGCAGAAAGCAAACAAAAATCTACATTTAATTTCAACATTCCTAGGAATGTTTTTCTGTATATAGTTCTACTTTAGAATAAGCAGTGCTGACGCTTGTTTATGCTATTTCCTTAACATATAATACCTTAAACCTGACCTTCAACATGCAATTTCATTGGTATATGTTCTTTTTCATATTTGGTGCCAAGTAGTTAGTTAGCAGCTAAGACTTAAACATTTTAGAAGATGTAGTTCCTTCCTGTGTGACAGTCCCAGAGAAACAGCTGTAGAGAAACCGAAATAAAATTTAAAAGTTTTTTATTTTAAAATACTGGAAATCTTGGGAGAAATTAGGTAAGGGTGACTAAGCATATTAAAGGTGAGTTAGTATATTAAAATAATTTAGGGAAACAGCACAGTTTGATCATAAATGGAATGGTGGCCCTAATGATTTGAGGGTTTAGCATGCTCCATTAAGATTCACGTCCGCTTTCAGAGGCTTTGCTTATGTTTAGTGCTCCCGTGAAGTATTTGAATATCTGACTTCCCTTTCTTTTCCCTGTAGTTGTTACCTTATATGCGACTCTAGGAGGTCCAGCAATTGTTCATGGATTAAATGAAACAGAGGTGACCAACATCATTACTAGTAAAGAACTCTTACAAACAAAGTTGAAGGTGAGAACTGGAGTTATTTTATAACTAATTGTCTGATAACTTGAGAATTTCAGTGCCATGAGCTATATTGATAGTTCTCTTATGATCATTAAAATCCTTAATGTCTTTATAAACTTTTAGGGGTATCATAATTTTATTCCTTTAGAAAAGAAAAAATACATTTCATATATAATTATGTATAAGTAGTGTAGATAGTTAAATTAGTTCTTAATATGCCTATATTTAAGATGAAGGGATTACAACTTTATTGTGCTCATCTAACTTCTTTTCAATAAATTTGTAATTTTGGAGACTTATTTTTAAGCTAGTAATTCATTTATCTGATTTCTGAAGCACCTGAGTTATGTGTTTTCAGAATTTTTTAAAGGTATAAGAGAGAAACTCTATGGAACTACAGGAAAAAGGAGTTTCTGTAGTCATTTGACCCTCCCCATGAAAATAGTTTCTGATCTGTTCTTTTTTTCTATATACAGAGGGTGCCCCCAAAATGTGTACACATTTTAAGAAAGGAAAAAACTGCATTAAAATTGTAGTACTCAATATATACCGATAACAAAAGATGAATACAAGGCATGTGTATACATTTTTTTGGCACCCCCGGTATATACAGGTTTATAAATAAATTCACCCCCTGTATCTTTATTAATCTCTTAAAAATGTGAGGGATTTCAGCTACCCTATATTTACATGCCCATTTTGTGAGGAAGTCACTTTGTTGATTAAGATTGTATCGAAGAGCAAGGTACACACAGGAAATCAAATGCTATAAAATAGTAATTTAAATTTCAGTCCAATATTTTTCCATCTGAAAAAAGTGCTATTCATACCAGCGTACCCCTCCCCCTTGGTTTTTTTTTTTTTTTTTTTTTTTT